CACCCCTACCCCCACCCCCACTGCCTTTATAAACAAAGATATTGCACTTCAGAGGGATAAAGGCATTCCCTGGGGCCAGATACCTAAGAAATGGCTGAGGGTGAACCAAAATTCCAACCACAGGAACTGGACCGCAAACTCCACACTCCTTTCCCCAACATCCTCCCTCTGTCTCATGTTCATAACAATCCCTCACATCCATACAATGCTTTTCACCTACATTATCTTCACAGTAATTTAATGAGTGATAATTTGGGGTTTCTCCGCCATGCTTTTAGTAACTTTTGTCCCGTGTATAATGGGTCTTAATTTCTCAAGAACAGAAGTAAATTCAATGTCATGCAAAAAATATTCTAATCAAACATAAGAATATTATGTTGTCAGTTTTCTTGCCAGTCATTTAAATATTAATCTCTGGGTTTGCGAGAGAACAGAAAGCCAATATTTACTTATTTGTTCAGTTTTATGAACTTGTAATTTACTATGAATTTATGATTATAATTTAGTTATGCTATTACTGTGTCAAAGGAACTTCAAAAGTAGTAATTACAGAATTACCTTCAATATTATCATCTTCAACAATAATATAATGAAATTAATGAAAGCAATAATAGATAAAAAAAATCTATCCAGCATTATTATACATCAACTTGTTCTCATTTTTTTTCATGTCCCCTTTCAAAATGTCTTTAGTCAATAATTAATCTTATTTTGGGGCATAAATTGGAGACTTGCTAAGAAGTCTTCAATAATCTTAATAGACTTACCTTTTGTTTGCTGAAGGGATCACTTTGATAAGATTGTCCAAGTCTTGGTTCCTAAAAAAATGTTAAGTTTCAGTAGCTGACTAGGTCAACTAAAATCCAATAATTTGTATATTTTTTCAGCCTTAATATTAACCAAATGATTGTTGCTAATTTAAAACTTCATCTATACTTAAATTTTTAGCCTTATGTAAAAACAGGTAGCTACTATCAATTCATTTCTTGCATACATTTGTGTATATGATAATTTAATTTAGTTTTATTCTTGTTTCTTTCAAGTCAACCTCAAAGCAGAATTATTCCTAAACTCTCTATTTTACATACTTTATCTGTGTGGCAGAATTAGACCATTTAGAATATTTTCTGGAGGTTATAATGAGCGAGAGAAAATATAAAATTATTCATTATATCCATATGTTCCTTGCTCCCCTTCTTCCACAACAAACAGAAGCTGAGATATTTTGTACAAAAAAAAAAAAAGAAAAAGAAAAAAAGGAAAAAAAGTCATTTTCTGATTCTATGTAGGTAATATATATAACATAAATATGTAATATTCACACTACCCCAAGATATTAAATCACTTCAGAATCACACTTCATGCAAAGCTAAATTAGAGCGAGCGAGGCATCAGTTTATATAATTTATGTTTCTATTCTAAACACTCAAATAGGCATTCATCGCTCTACAGAGATGCTGCTGTTATCACAGTAATGATACCAACCCTAACACCAAAGACCTGAATAGGAAGCCTAATTTGATATACTTTATTATTGGATGATATGTTATATATCCTGGAGAGAAAATAATTGGAAAGACTTATATCTTAACTAACCCTTAAGACTAATCTACAGGTTCATTTTATCATGTGCGTATTCTTCCATGTAAATTATTATATTCTATTACATTGAACTGTTTAAAATTGCCATTTTGTTGGTCAAAAATAGTTGAATGTCAGCAATTTCATAAGATTCAACCTCCCAGGAAAATTTATTTGCTATCTTCTTCACATTGAGTAGTGCTATGGGAAATTAACAATAAAGAAAAAATTGTTAAGAGTAATAATAATACTAATAGATAATGTGTAATAAGCACGTGAACACTAAGTGTTTTACAAGCATGATCATGTTTAATTTTTGTAGTAACTCATGAAGAAATTAACTCTTACAATCCTGATATTACATATAAAAAAGCTGAGGTATAAAGGAGGTTAGGCAATTTGTCCAAGACTACACAGCTAGCAAAAGGTCCTCTGAACTCAAAAAAA